TATAATTTGTTTACTTTTGTTTTATTCTGAAATAACAATACAGATTATTTACAATCGATTGGCTAAATAAACAAATATGAATATCATAATTAATTTAATCACTTCATTAAATCACTTACTGATAGTGTATTGTTAATAAAGTAAATTGACAAATAAAATATTTCACTGGTTGAAATCATGAATCCATTGAAGCTAGACCACCATGGAAAACCTGGTGGTCTAGCTTCAATGGATTCATGATTTCAACCAGTGAAATTTCTAAAATCTCCACACAATCCCTTCTGATAAAAATAAAATATTGCCATTAATGAGTGATATAAAAAAACATTCTTTATGTTGATTGTAGATCATGGAACCCATCACTACACATCAACTTTTCCTTGATTCGGAAAAAGCATTTTGCAGTGTTGGTAGGAGAACCCTATACATCTCAGGGAATCATGGAATGTGGTGGACACCTTGGATATAGCTGGGCGATTTGGACTTCAGAGATGACTTAGCTCTCCTATCCCATACACACAGACAAATGCAGGTGAAAATAGACAGTGTAGGTGCAGCCTCTTCAGCAGTAGACTTCAACAGAAAGATCTTGAAGTACAACACAGAGAACACCAACCCAATCACACTCGATGGAGAAGCTCTGGAGGGGGTGGGAACTTTCACATACCTGAGCAGCATTGTCGATAAGCAACGAAGACTTGATGCAGATGTAAAGGCACAGATTGACGAAGTAAAACCACGATTCTTACAATCGAACAACACATGGAGCTCAAGACAAATGTCAGCCAACATCAAAGCCTGACTCTTCAATACAAATATCAAGACAGTTCTATTATACCGAGCTGAGACTTGGAGAACTACTACAACCATCATCAAAAACATATAGGTATTTATAAACAGTTGTCTGTGCAAGATGCTCCATATTCATTGGTCGGATACCACCAGCAACAACCTACTGTGGAAGAAAACAAACCAACTTCTATCTGAAGAGGAAATTAGGAAAAGACATTGTAGGTAGATAGGACGTACATTGTGGAGATCGTCAAATTGGACTACGAGGCGAATCCTAACCTGGAATTGTGAAGGCCACAGGAAGAGAGGGATACTAGTGAGCACATTGCGTCGGGAATTAAGGGAAGGCATCAAAAGAACGAATAGAAATTGTAAACAACTGGAAGGGAAAGCCTAGGAGAGTGTTGTCTTGAGAATTTTTGTGGGCGGCCTATATTCAACCAGGAAGATTAAATGGATGACTTTATTGGAATGAAGCGAATCAATGAAGAAGATTAAACTCCAAATAATAATTCTACAAAGATTTAGTATACATTTAATAATGTATACATACTGGATATTTAGTTTTGATTATCATCATGTCATCCTAACTGTAATCTGTCATTTAACTGATTATATGTTGATAAGTCGTTTACCTCTTTAAAATTACTGTTTAAGAATTATACTGTTGTTACTCATTTCTGGATCACGAGTTACTTATTTTAGTACGGACTTAGATTTTTTTATTTGCGATGAGTAGTGGTCTTTTATCTGTACATAAGCATGTAAGTTTATGATTTTGAATAAAATACAGGATATTAACTATCTTATCTCGTGTACTGATTGAAGAGTTTGAGACAGAAAAAATCTTCCTGGAAACATCGTCTTTAGAGTCTGCTATAGATGCGTTATTAAGGCTAGTCTTATTAGTGTAGATGAAGCATACGATAGATTATATTCAATAAAAGGTAATTTTGCCCTTAATTATCATCGACTGAAGATATATTTCAACTGCGCATTCATGAGTAACTGATATTGTGTTTGACAATTAAAGACTATAGAAAAGTATAAAATTCAAACTTGCTTTAGGATTTTTAAAGGTTCATACCATTGGAAAATAGTTTTTTGCAATAAATGTAATTCATTTGAAGAACTATCACATAGCTGACTTAAACTGAAATTTTCACCATATTTAAAGTGATACATTCTAGTTGTACGTTTCAATGAACCTGATCAATGTTTCACTGAGACCCAATAACACAAGGATAACCAAAGTCATAACGAGTAGCTTATTTGTAAAATGATGGATGGAAATATTTCAATTTAACTCAGAGTGGCAAATACTTACGGTTATTATCGACCGATCTTTGGGTACCCGACTGCGAATAATAATGAGTGACTACTGACCTCATAATGAGTAGTTGGCAAATAATTAATATATTTTAGACATAGAAGTAAGATATATCTAAGAAAAATTCGAAAAGCATTATAATTGAATAATCATCACAATAGCGTAGATTAAAATGTTACAAATAGTACAAAGCTTACGAGAAAACCATTAATAATACATAAAAACCTATATATCCAAATAAGATTACTGATAATTAAACTGCAGTTATTGAGCTCTCGGTATAAATCTACAACACAGAAACTTATTTGCGATTCATCAGGAAGATAGTTAGAAATGAAGAAGTTGCTTAAATTGATGCTGCATGATGGTCCTATGATACCTTCGACTTAGTCACTAACCTACTCTTACCTAGATGGACATCAGCCAGGTACGTAGAAAAAACATATTTCAACCATCATAAGTCACATTAACACCAAAATGGAAATGCCATATTATATGTTCTAATTCACCAGAACAAATGCATATTTCACCTCCATTTAATTATAGTATTAGTTGGTAAGCATTGAAAGTTCATACTTGGTTAAATAGATTCAACCATGATAAACTATCCTTCTATCTTCTCTTCGTACTTCGCACTCGGCTAAAGTAGTAAGATTATCAAACAAATTTTCCAGATTAGTAGGAACTCGCCACCTATAGGTATTGATGCTTACATCAGAGCAGCACATTGAATGCATAAATCCAAAAAAAGGTTCTATCTATCTGTTGTGGTGGACCAGACAATATTTTAACTCAAAAAGGTAATAACAGAGTTATTAATAACAAAAAATAATGTTTATATATATAAGTTAAATGTCATAAACACAATAGAAATAAAGGAACGTTACTTAAGACGCCTGTATTCACAATGGTTCAAGTGTGACCTTGCAGTTCACCGTTATCCCCTACATTTGATTAATGTAGATGAATACATTATCTTGGGAGATGGGCATGTGAGAACACCTTGCATCGTATAGTGAAAACATCTCTCGGATTCAGTCGCGTCAGTAAAGCCTTCAAGAAACAATACTGTGAAATTGATCAACTTACAAAGTAGTTAACGCTAGGTAAATTAATAACGGTGAGTATTGTAAAAAATTATTCCGTTTTATATCACTCATCAAAAGATAATGACCAATATCTATTTCATTAGACGAAACGGAAATAAAGTGTTTAATGTTTAAAAACCACCGTTCTGTAAATGATATTCTCCTGAATAAGTAACTACTTGTAGTAAAGTCCGATTGGAATTTTCCCCAAATAATTTCATGTATATATATATATATATATATATATATATATATATATATATATATATATATATATATATATTTGCACATATGACTGAATTTATTTGACCTCCTATCTGCTTATGTGGATCAATAATGGTTTGACCATAATCCTATTATTGTTATGTATCTCGCCTAAATTGTATTAATCGATGTGATTATTGTTGTAGCTTCAGTGTGATTATATATCTGCACCCGTTAGTGTTAACAGAACAATCAACTCAACTGAAATAAAGAATAATCGCTCGATTTGAAAAAAACGGTAACCGATACCTAATTAATAATCGATGTCTAGTCTCATACTTTTGGTGGGACGAAGACTTGAGGTAGTCTTCTTTTGTGCTCACTTGAGCAATCAGCAAAATTGATGTGTTTTGTTTAGTTAGCATTAATTACGATTTTTGGCTGTCCGCTTTTAAATCTGCTTGCATTGTCAGATACAATATATTTATCTCTTTATTAAAAAAGTAACTGCCTGTTCAATTTTTACGACCATCTCTAACATCTTAAAATGACACGATATATAGAAGCCACTGAAATGAAATATATAAAAAACCTGATCAAACTGACAACATTCGTGTTTCGAGATAAAAAATACTTGTGGAACTGCCATTTCTGGTATGGATGAACAGAAGCACTGCACACAAGGTTTCGCCATTGAATATTTCAAACGGTTATAAGCTACTATTATAGTGAGCGAGAACTCAGGTGCGGAAAACCAATGTAAAATTACACAGTACTTTTATAAAATATGAAAATCAAACATTAAGTACATTATTTGCATATCTCCTATCAGTTGTCCTTTATATACTTCATGATTCTTCCGATTCTGTTGTTATTTCGATTACTCTGTCGCCCTTCCTATCCTCTTCAACTCAATCTTCTGCTGGTAGTCATTCCACTTCCGACTGCTGATACATACTGTCAGCATAAGCAGAATACACTACACTCTGGCCCTTAACATTTGTACATTTAATTCATCTGATAAACCATCAGCGATCACACGACTATTCAGGACACAAACCTCTTGACCATTTAAAAAGATTTACAATCAGGAGTGCTGGCAGATACAGCCTCTCCCCATCATTGTAGGGATATTTATGGTTCAAAGTAAATTCCGAATAATCTCACAATTCAAATCAGATATACCATTGCTCAGACAGGTAAACAACATCAAAGTTGTAAGCATAATGTTCGTATATCAAGTAATTTCGTTAGACTTTTGGTAACTCTGACTTCTTTGTTGTTACTATTATTAACTGTGATCAACTAAACAAACTCCGTTGCAGTATCACTACAAAACATTTTGCGCTGTGAACCATTATCAAATCCCTATTGTCATCTAAGTCATATAACCTTGACACTTTTCATTGAATATAACCATTAATACCATAAAATGGAATATCGGACATACGATTCTACCTGATGAGATTGTTTGATTCGTCAGAACAAGACAGAACAACAGTTATACATCACCTCTTACGTTATTGTGGGAAACCAGTTCTACTGATTAAAATTATGATACATCTATTATTCTTTCAAAACAACGATTAAATGGCGCATAGAATACATTATATTATCATAGTTCAATGTGATAGAAAATATTAGTTAAATAAGCGTTAGTAAAGTTTCTGATCACTGATCGGAAAATCATTTATAAACAATAAACGGATTCGATTTTTAAAAAATACATGAAGGAGAAGGATTTCCAACTGAGCAAGGTAGGTTTTAAAGTTGAACTCAATAGTTTTCGAATTTCCATTTTTTCACATTGAAATGCATGCATGTTCTTCCGTTTTCCTGGAAGAAAATAAAATAAATAGAATGGGCTTATTTAGATGAGGTGTAGTTACAAAGTAGAGAAGTTATCAATTCAAATGATATTTTCCCACGTCAATCAATGTAAATATAGGAAGTCGAAACTACTACTCTGACAAACTCCAGAAATTGTAAATACACAAACACATCGAATATACACAACACTTTTTTCTCACTAGATGTGAATTGGAAGCAATCAACAAAATACATTTAACAGTTTAACTGCAACTGAATTTCATTATCAAGCACCTAATCAGATCCCATAATAGTGGAACACTGTAAATATACCACACACAGATGCTCATCACTCGAAAATATACTTTGGGCGCTTTACATAGTCGACTATGCCTGCGGTTCAGATGGCAACCGACTCCGGAGGTTTTGAACTCCTGTGTATCTGTATCTCATAAATATTGATGGAGTCTCATGCACAAGTGGACAAGTCCTCTCGAAAAACAATCAGAGATTATGATAGTTAGCTCCTCATCTAATACATACTAATATTGTTTACAAATAAAACATTGCATCTTATTCTGGTTCCCTTTAATCATAACGATAATATCTAGTGTGTAATCGTGTAATACAAAATTGTTCGTTTAATTGAGTACGATACAACTTTGAGATTAGCTAACCTGGATAGAACACGGAATGAACTGATATTTCATATTCTTACTGGGGTAACAATTTCACTTTTAAATATTTACTTAAATTTATGGAACTTCAACTGGAATTCGAAAGGAAACTAAACAAACAACCAAAATATCAACTAGTCAATATACAAACAACATACTTTGGTTTCTCAGTTTTTACAGTGATCGATCCACGACTAACATTGTGCTACAGTAACGAAGATAAACAATATGCGTGTATACAAATTCATGATTATATTCAAGTATGTATTACAAAATTAACTGGACACTTAATTACAAAACCGAACTTCTTCCGAATGGGAGAGTGATGTTCCTAACTGGAATAAGTATACGTATACAACTGAGCTACTAAGAGTATCAAAGTAAATGATGTGGTAAAGGCTCCTTATTGCTTCAGTTAACGGTGTCACTCTAAGCATAGATGTAGACTAGTTTCAAAGTACTATTGCTTAAATATACACAGTTCGGTAATGTAATGTGAATTGTTTGCGATTTTTACACTAACAGATACTTAACTAATCTTACTGATCAACAGTCAAGTATTCCCATTAGGTCAAATATTTTGCTGGAGTTACCACCTGACTAAAAGTGAAGGGTTCGTCAATACACCTGCAACTTTGAAGTTACGTTTCAATATGCATTTTAAAAGTCCCAGAGAGTACTACGCAAATGTAGGCTAGTCAGTTTAATCACTGATTCACATGTTTTCATGATAGTCCTAATAATCAGTGACCTCCCAAGTTTAAGTTACCCAATTAATCTAGGTGACTGCCTTCTGTTACGTGGAACTGCTGCTATCTCGATTACCAAAGCATAACTACAGCAAAACGTTACCACCATTTACCTACTGAAATGAGAATTCAGAAAGCGTCAACTAGGTACTTTCATAAAAAGCTTAGTCTATCTACTTCAATGCTACCCTCTCCACTACGAACACCATTTATGAACATTTGACTATGTGTAGCAGCTCAGATAGCTATTATCCAATGTTCAATCGACGAGAGATGTTCAGAGCCTAGACACTTTCAACAACGCACGTTTCGCCTGTCTAATTCAGCAGTGTAAGCTAGCCAGTCAGTTCATAAGTGATCAGTGGATAAAATCGAATTCAAATGTGTGATCCACTTAAGAGATTATACTAAGTTCACATATGATAAGAGGTCAGGTTGACCACATTGAGCGAATGAGGTCGAGTAAATAACCAAACGATGACCCTATTGTTTTTCTCTACAAACAATGCATACGTATTTATCATGAAATTCAAGAGTTTTTACCAGTGAAATCTGTTGTTTGAAGACGTGCACGGTAAACCAACATACAGTTCATTAGAATCACAGATGTCATTTGATTAGCTGGGATAGTTCGCACCGAATGTTCTAAATTTCTTATTGACACGAATATTTCATCGGCTAAACAATGACTTGATTTACAGGTAATACCCAACGAACAAACTGGGAATGTTCAAGAACACAGGTAGTGAGTGGAAAGGTTTTCAACTTAAAACTTTGTGATTAATGATCATCGAGTGTTTTCCTTTACCTTAGCAGGAGGGTCATAGGTAACATGATAGTTCCCAAACCCACTCTTAGTATTATTTGAAAAACCATCAGACTAGACAAAAGTAAAGATAAAAAACAAATGACAATAAAAACACAGTTCTACCATTTCAAATCTTTCAAACTCACAATTGTGGTGCATAATTCTTCAAATTTTTCCTCAAATGGATATTTCCCGGAGAAGTCAATATAACGACTCTCGCCCATCATGAAGCCCAGCCAACCACTTGGAACAAACTTCGACTCAACACGAAGAAAAATAGTTGGTTTATTTAGTTTTCCAGTGTATTCAGCTTCTTTAAAATGAAATGTGGTACAATATTAAAACAACACTGATAGTTTACCATGTGCTACCAGTATTCGCTCATATCTGGTCAAAATATTACTCAGTAAGTGGTTATAAATGCTTTTCAGTAGTATCTTCACGCTTCTGACAGATTTTAACCAGCTGACAACACTTTTCAGATACGAAGAAGGGAATTCCACTTCAGTCTACGACTCGGGGCGATGACGTCAATTTGTAACAAAGTCAGTTTCATGTAGAAATCAACAACCACTGTTAGTTAGTCCAACTCAATTTATCGACTGCCTATAGTTCGATATTTCATGGATTGTTGACGCAGAAGCTGACAGACACCACCCACGGTACTGTAGCAGCACCAAATAAGATGCACAGCTACGGCTTCAAGGACTGTTCTGGAATGTCATTCGAAGTTTACTTGCAAACCATAGGGGACATTGATCTGGCACACAAAGGAAAGAACTTTATATCCATTATCAAAGCAAACAGTTCGAAAGTGACAACTAATTTCAATTAAACTGGTACAATAGATCCTGTGTTTCCTATCAAATTAACAGAGCTAGGAGAATCGATTTCCAACGAACTGCCTCTACATGTTTAAAGATTTATACATTTTGGCCGCGGCTCCTTCAAACAATCAACTATGGTGAAATTCACAAACGCATCAAGCAATCCCTTAGTTAGATAATCTTGTATACTCTATAAATATCCTATGAAATTCTTGCATGAAACTGTATGGACATTTGTTTGAGCCTTTGTCTTGAAACATATATTGGATCTAATCACTTTCAAAAAAGTTAGAAGTGAAAAAGTATGATAATGTTAGAAACATGGAAATCACTATTGACTTTAGTTCCGAATTATATATTTGTGCATTGTTGGTACAGTGGGAAATATACAGGATTGAAGGATTCACACTCAATCCTCTAAGTTCGCGAATCTTTCAAAATGTAGGTTACACACGAGAACACCAGCAGTAAAATCACGTATATTTAGACACTATTAACTGAAAGAGAGACTCTTTCCGATGAAACAACACTGATGATCTACACGACACCTAGACTTGCATCACTATGGAACGTCGATATATATCAGAATCCATAAACATGCAGCTGATGGTGATGATGATCGATTTGCACAAGAATGAAATCACATCATGGACAATATAATTTGCACAAAATAACTAGTGATAAACACATTTACTCCTTACAATAGTCTACAATAGATGGAAATAAATCGAGTACAGAATGTACAGTTTTCATAAAACTCTTACGAGTAAACAAGAACTTCTAAACTAGAAGTAGGACCATGCACATGGAACAACTTATGTATGTGCATTTTACACCAAATGGTTGAGAATAACCTGGTAGATGTTAAAAACACTAACGGCGCCACACTGTTCTTGTTTTATGGAAATAGTAAAAGTTGGTAGACAGTGTGGAGCTATGCCTGACAAGCTTATTTTGTAAATAGTTTTTAATGTTATTTGTATTTATTTTGTCGAATTTCCACTGCATGTACATTTATCATTAAATGATTGTACCTGCTGTTTAAGTGTTTGACCTTGAACACTTTCTTCCGTTGTGTTACACGCATAGCATGACACATTGTTAACTGCTGACAAATACATCGTTGCACACATACTTCTCGTTCTACATTCGCTTGTGACTGAGCTAACCGAAGTCTAAATCAGATACTAATTACCTTTATAGACTGTAATTAGAATATACCATATCCTATATTGGATCATATCACTGGGGAATTCATCAAACTTACTGGAAGTATCAAACGTCCATAAATGTGGATATTTGGTACCAGATCAAAGTAGAACACGCACTAGTCTGGCGAACCAAGTAACGTTCCTTTATTTCTATTGTGTTTATGACATTTAACTTATATATATAAACATTATTTTTTGTTATTAATAACTCTGTTATTACCTTTTTGAGTTAAAATATTGTCTGGTCCACCACAACAGATAGATAGAACCTTTTTTTGGATTTATGCATTCAATGTGCTGCTCTGATGTAAGCATCAATACCTATAGGTGGCGAGTTCCTACTAATCTGGAAAATTTGTTTGATAATCTTACTACTTTAGCCGAGTGCGAAGTACGAAGAGAAGATAGAAGGATAGTTTATCATGGTTGAATCTATTTAACCAAGTATGAACTTTCAATGCTTACCAACTAATACTATAATTAAATGGAGGTGAAATATGCATTTGTTCTGGTGAATTAGAACATATAATATGGCATTTCCATTTTGGTGTTAATGTGACTTATGATGGTTGAAATATGTTTTTTCTACGTACCTGGCTGATGTCCATCTAGGTAAGAGTAGGTTAGTGACTAAGTCGAAGGTATCATAGGACCATCATGCAGCATCAATTTAAGCAACTTCTTCATTTCTAACTATCTTCCTGATGAATCGCAAATAAGTTTCTGTGTTGTAGATTTATACCGAGAGCTCAATAACTACGGTGACTAAATAGAAGGTAGCATAGGACCATTTTCTAATTAATTTTAACAGTATAACTTCAATTTGAACAGAACAAATCAATTCTCAATGCAATCAAACATTTAAATTTAAATTGTTCATTGTTTAATAAGTTAGTTTTTAATTTACGCGTTAAGATGTCGTGAAAAATAAGAGTGATTTACGAGTGAATGGTGGTTAGCAATGAGATCAAGGAAGCGCGTTTCGTCCCATTCGGAGCTCGTCAGATGGATGTACGATGGGGCTTGAAGCGAACGGTAGTAGCTTCGAGTCGCAGAGTGAACATGAACTCTGAGATGCAGTACACGCAGCTGACGAGTCCCAAATAGAACGAAACGCATGTCTTGGATTCCACTGTTAGCCACTATCCATTTTTGCTTATAATACTTGTGTTGGGATATTCAGAAAAATATCCCAAAAATGATCGTGTTAAGTCTAATGCTATTCCTTAACGTGAAATGGTGTCATTTTCCTATTGGTCAATATTTATTTCACGCGTCATTTTCCTGTTGGTCAACATTCACGATAGTCCTAACTGTATAAATTTGCATTTGTCTGTATATTGTTATTCTTCTCCTTACCCCATAAACAATTTTCATCTAACGGTTCGTGTTCTGATATATTGGAGATTGGGGTCGTACTGGGATATCGGTAGAATTTAGAGTAGCCACCACGCTGTCCACAATAACTTGTGACTTAAGGAAGTATCTGGGAAATCTGCACATGATGCACATATACCAATAAGAGACTGATCAATTGCAGTTCTAAACACCAATGGGAAGATTCAAGTAAGCTATATCAACTGATCGGCATCATGTTCAAATCTCAATGAGAATAAGTGTACTGAAAAGGAAATACTTTTAACTGATCCGTCTCAAATATAGTGAGACTTTACTCAAAATGCATAAGCCAACCATTGAAAAAATACAATCAGTGCTCAAGCAAAATAATATCAATACATTGATTCTCTTGAGTAGTCCATATAGCTATGAACATCGAAAAAAAGATAAAGGTCCACGCACAAAGCTAGCTAGGGAAAAAGTGACCTATGGAAACTCTTTATACAACAAAAAATGAGTAAGCGAGATTTAATTATACAACAACTACAAAAAATGAAGAAACTTTTAAAGAAGAATTTTAAAACTTACAGACTCAAAATAATTACATCATTTTATACAGATGAATTCGAAGATTATTCATTCTGAATGCAGAACGTATGTCGTAAATACTTAACAAAAAAACAGTTACAAGTCTCAGTTCAACTAAAAGGGTGAGTGACAAGACGATATTAACCGATCTGCTCATATGTCCCAAGCTCCATGTTACTTATGACTGTCTGAGTGACCGAAACAGATACATTTGTACAGGTAATATATAAACAATAAGAAATTTTGTAGAATATAGAAACCACTCATGTACATACCTCTTTTAGTATTTGCACTATCTTGGTATGATTTAGAAAAAAGTATTAATACAATTGCAGCATTTTGCACAGCGTTTGCCATTGCATCTAAAATCTTAACATCTTGAACCATATCCTCTTTGTCAATCCAAATCTGAGAAAATAGACAAAGATTACTGGTGAGAATATAAACATATGTCATAAAACGTTGAAAGAAAATCATAGACAATATATACATCACGTATCAAAAACTATATGCAACTATATGATAAATGCGATTAATCCGAAATTGTGTGTAAATTCCTTTCGAGAAATCTGTCTTAATCTGTATCAATGCCAAGGTTGAAACTTAATGGTTTCAAACAAATTGAGTATTGGGTAGAAAGTTAATAGTAAATATATTTTTCGCCATATCCCAATGTTATTTATTTAAGTACATAAACATTGGTACAAAGGGGTACCGAATACATATGCACCACACAAGCCACTTGGTTTGTGCGTGGGCTGAGTGCTCAAACCAAAGCAGTTGCTTTTCCTAGGGGGCCACATCCTGAGCCTTTGACTTAAAGGTCCAATCCACAAGGCAGTAGAGCAACGTAAGGAAATGCAGTCCCATGGTAACCGGTGACTAACAATAGGTTCATACACTATTTGTCCCCTTGGGATCCTGGAGCTCATGTACACCACTGGTTTGGAATCAGGGTTCCCCAACTCCCCTAGGTGGATCCTCCGTATCCACCAACCAGGTCAAAGCGCCGGACATTCGCTTACCGTCTTCTCAGTTTCGTAAACAACAACCTCGCCGCGAGAAGGCAGTGAGTAGGACTTCCCTGGCAGTGGTTGTATGTATGTGGCCATGTGAGAGCAATTCGAAAGTGAGAGCTGACTCTCTCCACTTTCGACCGTACGAGAGCATTTGGGGGCAATATATCCCGGTGAGTAGGAAAATTATATTTCTGACGTTTCGTGACTTGATGTGAGCCACTTTTTCAGAGTAAATAAATAATACGTCAGGAATACAATTTTCCTACTAATTGGGATATAATAAAAATATATTTATTATGTCTTAATTAAAGTTTATGATATAATAGCTGTTCAAAGAGGAAATCAATCAACTATATGAATGTACACAAGTAAAGTGTTTTTCAGAATTATCATGAAAATTTGGTCATAGTGATATGGTTATTTATTTATTATTTATTTATTTGAACACATAAATATTGGTACAAGGCGGCACCAAATATATATGCGCCACACGAAACAATGATAATTTGAAGAGGAGAAAAAAAAGAAAAAAAAGTAATGAACGTGGGGAATTATTAAAAAAAAGAGAGAGAGAACAGTAATGGGGGAAACGGAAAGGTACAATCAGAAGAAATCTTTCAGTTAAGGAAGGAGCAACCACTCTTTACGAAGAAAGTAAAAGAAGGTTACAGCAGGATCGCCATTGGCTTCTATTCTGAGCCATATCTGATAACGTCTCTAGCCACTGTGTTACACCGTCTCTCGGACCCCAGCCAGGGAGTCGTGAAGGACCAACAGAAGCTAGCCCTTTGCAGCTTTCTTTCATACCATGACACCATGTCATATATATTCTTTTCGCTCCGATTTACACTGAAATGACTCGCACTACTATTATTATTAGTGATATGGTTGGCGTGTAAGAGGTTTATGGAAATATATTTAAAACCCTAAATTAACTTAAATAAGCTTCAACATAAAAACAACTGCGAATTACGTCTCATCAAGTATTGCCTATACGGAAATATGATCGATTATGCTAATATCTAGAGGCAAATAGTTCGAATAATCGTCCCCTTAATATATATTTGAATATTATCGTATTGATTGAATACCAAAACTAGCTGTAGCCTCACGTCATTTAGAATTAGTGAGAAATGCACTTCAAAATATGCTATTTGTTAGTTGGTATACACCATGAATGTGTGAACCTTGTGAAAGCCGTCAAGTCAAATACCGAAATCTAGAACGATTATAGTGTACCTAATTCAATTGTTACTTATCAAATCGGTACAGTAAAGGTAGATTCAATGTGATAACAACGATATGAATAGAATTAAAATGAATAACCGTGAAAATATCATGAGAAGAAAAGTCAATCACAAGGCAGAGTAAACAGTGAAATGGTCAGATGTTTAATCAATCGGGAGTGATATAACCACAATCAAAACTAGGGATGGATACAGACTAGTTTTGAATTTACTTTAAATTATGGGGAGTGAAACAACCTAATGCTTCTCATGTTCTGACTTATAAATTAAAACCAAATATCACACATAGAATAACAATTTCGAATGAAACACCTTATTTATTTAAAACACAAATAAATTATGTCTGAATTCATCGTAAGAAAGAACTTGTGGTGATTTCTTACTGAACCACATACTAAAGGACTACGTCAAACTAATAAATGTTTTCGGCTCGAACACTATTAGCTGGAATATAGCTTACGGCAAACTTTCATTGAGATTTATCACCTATATATATATATATATATATATATATATATATATATATATATATATATATATATATATATATATATATATATATATATATATATATATATATATATATATATACATATATACGCATAACAAATAAAATACCTTGATTCCTTCATTTTTCAAGCTTTCTTTAATTTTAAGTGCTATTTTGTCATCGTTATGACTGTAGCTTATCATAATATGACCATCCAGATGGTAGGGATTTCCTTTTTCTACCACATAAGATGGTTTATCTTCTATAAAATAATAATTTAAATACGAATGGTTAGCAAATTCTATTCTGACAAAATTCCGTTGTAAAATTGTGACAACCGATTAAGACTCGTAATAGCCGATTTGATCTAGCAAAACCATAGAAATTGTCTGTATGAAAACCGCTAATTTGCAGCTCATTATATTTCTCTCGAATATATACCTTGATAACAAAATCCATGACGATTATGTACCCACCGATTCTCTCCTGAGCTTCGCATGAAGATAACCGAACCAACAAAGTCTTTTCTTTTTTTGTCCTGATGTAGCATTTTCAAGAGACTTCATACAAACTTCATTCTAAAATAACCATGTAGAATGGGCGCTGCATAAACAATATCACATATTGGTAAATTCGAAGTCCCACGATCACTACACACGAACTTCATAATTACAAACTTGATTTCTTATCCTTTGAAAGGAGTAAGACTTATCGATGTATACATTTATTACTTCTCACAAATCGATTGTTTACTTTGCTAATACCATCCCCAATGTTTAAGTAATTTGCCGTAAATCGTCGTCTACTATAACCGAAACTGATCAGTTTAATAAGTAGATAACAAATTTGCCTTCCCTTCGTCTGTGAATTTAGTCAATTTAGTTAATACAGTCTTTACATTAAGGACAAATATTCCTAGTCCCAACTACCATGAAAGATAAACTTAGTTAATCATATCTTTGTCAAAAAGATTTTACGGCAGTTCAGAACTCCCTAAAACTTATCAAAGTAGAAGGATATCCTAAGTAATAATTTGGGTTGGTGAACAACTATGTCTTAAGTACTCTAACATATTCTATTATCTAGTGAACCGAATGTACTTGCATTGGTTAGATTATATTTCCTTATTTAGACAACTGTATACTTAATGTCTTACTTTGATCAGACTGTGAAACTGAAACACGTACAGAAAGTATGTATTGTGACTAACCTGTTAAACCATGAACTCCATTTTTCTACATTACCTTTTAACATTTTATCTCCTACACCAGTCAGCTGTAAATGAGTCAAAAAAATATCTAGTTTATTCATAAGATGTGTAATTCTTATTCATTCAGTTTTGTCAAGTTCTAAGTAACCGTAATCACGTGAATTAACAAGATCCAAAATTTCAAAGCAATAAGTCGAATAGTGTTTCTGAGATATTTCGGCAGTATTTAATACTATGGTTGATTGTGAAAGGATTAGATGGACATTAGCAGGTACTTGTCAACTAGTCAGTTAAGAACATTATTAAACCTGGAAGTGTCTATAGAAAAGCACTTAAAATCAGGCACAGTAATATATCATGTAGGAAACTTTCCGTTTTATTTCCTAACATCCAACTAATTTAAAGGAAAAACGAAATGATGACCGGAAGATTAAAAAATTCACCAAAGTAAACTGTTACGGTGTACAGTATAAATTTAACTACAGCTCCTTAGAGGGGACAGGGATAAAATAGTTTATGAGATGTTATGTTAGTCAGAAAAGAGCATTTTGGTTGTGGTAGGGTAAAACGGCAAACAAATTTTAAGATTTAACAGGAGGAAAGAAATGTTAATTCAGTATTATGAGAAATAAATCGTAAAAACAAAAACTTGTCCACCCCCAACACTTTCGTATTGATAGTATAGTCATATTCTCTATGCTTAATAAGAGTTCATTATTTTATCTACTGTTATTTGATATTCCTTAGACTGGTGTATGAGATAAATCCAATAATCCTGCTTTTTATATGCGATATAATAGCATGAATAAAAGTGACTGAATTAGTGTTTTTACATACCACTTTGGTCATCATCGATATCAGGTCCAGTTGGATATTGAAGTAAGAATTCATCAATACTAGCACCTTCAAAATATGTTCGAACTTTTTCTTCCAATTCAGTTATGTTGTTGCGATATGCTTCAGCTAGTGACAATATTTCTTGGGTAGCATCAATAACTGGAACTTTAGATGATAAAATATTTGTAGTAGTTGATATTTCATTTGTGCCGTATGATTGAGAATCAGATAACGATGTCAAGTGACGTACAATATCACGATTGCCAAACTCAATTCTGTTTTCAGCGTTTAGAGCCAAAAGGCGGAGCACTATTATTCGGAAAAAAAGTACCAATTCGTACGCTACATTCTGAATTTGTAACAAAAAGATACTGACACGATGCAGAATAAACGCACTTGAAATTATGACCGGTAGCAATTTATTCAGATTGACTGGTATTGTGAAGAAAAGTTCAGAGGTAAATAGTTTGATTGAAACGCTTGTAGTTTTATGCTGTAAAACGGTAGTGAAAACTAGAAACATGAGGACTTATTAGTCCCCTGTAGTAGCAAGTCTTACTATTAATAATGACGTAATTTGTTGGTAGTTTTAGTGACTGTATACTTTATTGTCTATGTTTATTAATTATTTGTCTTATGAAAAAAAATTTTTGTCAGGTAAGTTTGACCCATATTTGATAAGAAACAATAATAGTTATATTATCGATTAATCCAAAGTATTCATTTTTGATTATTGACTATATAAGTAAACCAGACATAACTCGTAATTTTCGATTAGTGGTTGAATTAGTTGTGGATTTACGGCTTGTGAATAACAAACGTCATCAAATGTAGCCTTACTGTCTTGCATCAATCAAATAATATCAATCTTTACACAGTGGTAAGTAACCAGGTTCTAGAGGTTATAAAGGACCTGTATATAAATGCTTTCGTCAAATTACAACGATATTACTACATTTATTGAACTGAAAGGCGACAGTCTGGAAATTCGCTCAATTTCCTAAAACCTTTAAATTTCTTTTACATTTTTATACCCGATTCGGACTTCAAAATTAAACTACCTAGTTCCTATTACATCAAACAACTGTAACAACCTCTAATAAACAAATCAATTAGATGGTTAAAGTAAAAGCTGTTCGACCAGGTCATCACTGTATGGTTGGCCGCACTCAAGCAAAACAAATCAGTGAAAAGTCCTGCATTATTTCACTTAATTGGAGTAAAGCTTTGAGGTGTCTTATCATTAGTACCTTTCAGTTGACATACCTTCCACCATTGTATACTAAAGAAGCGACTAACTTGAAGCTATTAGTCTTAAATTGTTTTTAAAATCATCAATCCAGTTAAAGCGATTAACAAATTCCCTAACAGTTAAACCACATATATCTTAATATTTGCATAATTAGTACCGTTGAAATAATTCCAAATGTGACTGTTCAGCCAACATTTACAACTAATAACGTAAACGGTTTATCATCTCTAATGTAATAAGGTTTATAAACACTATACACAAGTGTTTTAACGTTAGATATACGTGACGACCAACTGGCGCTAAGTATTACACAACTGTCGTTCACATTCATTAAAAAACTGAATCATATCATTAAAATCCCCGGACAGTCAAACTGAGTTCCCAGTATCGATATCGCACAATTTCAGGAGGTTCAAGTACGAATAAGAAAGTACTAATAAGTACACTCGGCACAGCAATCTTTTTAATCAATGCATATTACATTGTGTCTGTTTTAGAAACAAAATATTAGAATGTGGTATGAAGAAGAAGAATGTAAGATCCAGTCAAAACACATTCATATCTAAGACTGGTTAGAAAAGATTTTGGTATAAATAGAATCGGTTATACAATCGGATTAATATATATTAATTCAAAAATGAAATAAATAAAGTACACTTGCTATACTAACAATAAAAACTTTAATGAATAGAAGTAAATCATGGTTGTTTTGATATGGAGCCAGCAGTAAAATCCAGGATATAGATTTTATTCTATCTGGAACTCAGATTTACCTGTACCCCAGTGTTGATGTCTTTACAGACTTGAACCCAGTACCTGTCGCTAAAATCCCGTTCTACTTCATTTTAGATTTGATTTTCATCGCAGAAAATCATATCAACATTTTCCACACCCCGTACTTTTGGTCAATATAAAATTACTAAAATATTTAGAAGAATGATAACGCAGCATTTATTTGAAAATGACAATTGTCTGCAAATAATCTACCTTTATTGAGAATAAAGGCATCAAAGAAATGACTTTTTCTTCCTCCAATAACAGTGTAATGGAACTGTTGCATGAACAATTCAATATATTCTTCTTTTAGATAAAGTTGACTGATATCAGTGTAGGTAAACGTTAAAAAAATGGTTATGGCCAACTGGAAAATAAATATTAACTGGAAATAATACCACCAACTTTAATTTTTGGATCACGGCAAGTATAGTGCGCTAAAATATTACGTAGACCATAATCTCTAAGTATTTTTGTTAGGGAACTATGTTCATAAGCCAATGCAGTATTTAGTGAACAAATAATTAGCGTTGTTAGTGGAAGTATAGCCTAATATAGCATATTTTAAGAATAAAATGATTCAAACCTCAGACATTTTCATAGTACTGATGACATGTAAGATACGCCGTACTTCCGTCAAATATATATCAGATTTGATCAGTTTCTGTGTGAAGCTTATGCTGACGATCATATAATTAGTTAATGATTGTTGAAAATCCACCAGATTGATAACCCATTTTTCACAAGGGAGTGGATTGAATGTAGAATAACTTAAAGGAATAGCCATTCTTCCTAATTCACGATAAACAGATATAAGGTTATCAAAAACTGATAACCTTGACAATATATCTATCGCAACCTTTGTACGATACTCTGTTATATTTGCTGGTGCGTCTTCAGGGTTGTAACTATTCAGAAATGATTTTAATGATTCGTCGAATTCCGCCGTAGCATATTTTTTTGAATCAGCAAGTATAATCAACTGCTTTATGTGCTTTGATGTTGCTTCATATAATTCGCCGAAATCGTTCTTACTCATTTACGGTTGTTTATCTGAAGTGAAACGGCAACAAGAAGTCCATTAAGGAAAGTAAACAGAACAACTTAACGCGAATCAGACAAGTAGATTCATAGGGGGATGAAAGAAATATAACCAATTATTTGTGGTGCACTTGCAACCGAAATTCCAACGGACGATAAACTGTAAGTCTTTCTGAAGGTCTCATAAATATATTCCAAATACGCTTACCCAAGAAGTCCGCAATATTGACGTATAAAACGGTGTATTTTACATTAGGCGCTAGAAACGAAACTCCAATAATCTACTGGATTTCTGTTAGAAACTTGTTTTCTGGCCGGTAACGCAATAATCAGTTAAAAACGGCGTTTTTCCTTCCTTTTTTAGGTATTTTCATAACCCCCCGACCGTACCTGCTACCTTGACGTGGTGATCGGGCTTGCCTATCGTGATGACCCAACCGAGCTATATTGGCTGGAACACAAGTTCCTGCAGGTTCTACCATGCCAGGCAGGTCGATTGGAGAACGGTAAGACTAAAAGCAGCAACTCAAGGTCTGGGGGCGAAGTCTTACTGCTGACTGTACAGAGGTATGACAGCAGTAAGGTGTTTCCCTCGGACAACCAGCATCTGCAGCGATGCTGCCTTCTCACAAGGAAGGAAGGGGTTATAAAAGGTTGACCCTAAAAATGTCACACCTCACCTTACCCCACGGATTTCCGTCTCCGGCGGTAAGGCCCTTTGAAGAACGGAGCTAACACATTAAAAACCTCCCACAAAAAGGCCGTGCGCGACCGGCCTCAAGCAGTTGTCCCTTGGGCTCTGCGGTCACGCACTCAGGTCGCTAAGACCAACACTAATCCGATTTCCTTTTCAGGTCCCTCAAGAAATACCCTTCCACGGTGTGGGCAACCGGGAAGTGATATCAGCCCTCATACCTGTAACAGCACACGAGACCAAGTTGGTCACATTCAAATCCTTCCTACACCTCCTAGTAACTCTCTTGTCTCCTCGACTAACCCTTCTCACGTCCCTTTATCACCTCGCCCCGCTAGTGCGAACGATTCGAGTACGCGGAATGTTATTCCTGGTCTCCTGAAACCACGCTCCAAACTACACGTAGGAGCTTTCAACGTCCGGACACTGTGCCAAATAGGACAACAGGCTTCCTTAGCTAAGACTTTAGAATCTCGCTCCATCGATGTGTGCTGCGTCTCCGAAACGCGCACACAGGATCCTAGTAGTGTCATTCATTTGACCGCACCATGTCAAAGTAACGAACCAACTCGATTTACGCTTCGTGTATCTGGAAGCCCTGATGCTGCATCCCGTGGCCTCGCTGGCGTAGGTATAGCATTGAGTCCTAGGGCAGAACTAGCTCTCTTAGACTGGATCCCAGTAGACAGTCGTTTGTGTGCTGTCCGACTAAACGGAACAGTAAGGACTCGAAAAGATAGGGACACTCGTTGTTGCCTCTTCGTCGTCTCTACCTACTCTCCCACTGACTGCAGCTCAGATGATGTAAAAGATGAGTTTTACAGAAAGCTTTCCGACCTTCTCCGAAAAGCTAGGCGTTCAGATGTAGTAATAGTGGCTGGCGACTTTAATGCTCAAGTAGGTAAACTAAGCGAAAAGGAAAGACACCTGGGTGGATCTTATGGTGTCGCGGCTCAAAGGACAGATAACGGCGACCGTCTGTTGCAGCTATGCTCAGATAACCGCCTGTTTCTTGCAAACACTAACTTTAAGCATAAGGAAAATCATCTTTTAACATGGCGACCCCCTAATTCGTCTCAACGCTGGACCCAAATAGATCACATCGCTATCAGCCACCGATGGAGGGGCTCGATAGAAGACTGTCGCTCATTCTGGAGCAGATCATGCTCTAGTGCGAGCGCGTATTTGTCTACGTCTTACTGGACGTAGGAAAGATGGTGCAAGGAAACCTCTTAGGGTCCTACTTAATGATAGTCAAGCTAAGAGTATATTTCAGGAACATCTAGAAAAACAGTTAGACAGCCATGTAAGTGACGCCCACCCCGAGGCAGCGTGGAATGACATCCGAAAAGCTGTAGAAACAGCAGTGATGTCTGCAAGTACGGTAAACCATAAGGTTAGGGAGAAACTCTGGATCTCAGCAGCATCTACCGCACTGATAGATGCTCGAAAACTCATTCCATCTGGCTCTAAACATAACGAAGAGCGGAGTCAGCTTAAGCGTAAGCTGACCAGAAGCCTACGCAATGATCGTGAACAGTGGTGGATAGCGAAAGCAACAGAGATGGAAAAGGCAGCGGCAATAGGTAACAGCAGGCAACTGTTCAGACTTGTTAAGGAAACCGGTATTAGGAACCCAACTGTTAGCGAAACAATCGCAGAGAAAGATGGACATATTATTCATTCTCAATCCAGGAGATTGGATCGATGGGCAGAATACTTTAGGGATCAGTTCAACTGGCCTTCAGCCACACTTCGGTTTCCCACGATCTCCAGTCGACCTGAATGGCAAGTTGATGTAAGTCCTCCGACTCTTTACGAAGTTGAAAAAGCTATAGGTAATCTAAAGCGTGGGAGAGCAGCAGGCCCTGACAGGTTTAACCCTGAGATTTTTAAGGATGGCGGTCCAGTATTAGCAGCGAGATTGACTGAGGTCTTAGGTAGAATCTGGGAACTGGACGTAATCCTATCTGACTGGTCTCAATCACTGATTGTGCCAGTCTATAAGAAAGGACAAAAGTCCTCCTGTGACAATCACAGAGGAATTAGTTTGACTAATATAGTGTCTAAAATATTAGCTTCAATAATACTTCGACGTCTAACCAAAGCTCGTGAAGAACAGACTAGAGAAAACCAGGCTGGTTTTCGACCTGGACGTGGTTGTATTGATCAAATATTCACATTGCGTCAGGTCCTAGAACATAGACACACATTCAGACGCCCCACAATGATAGTATTTCTCGACCTTAAGGCGGCATTTGACTCTGTTGATCGTGAGGTTCTATGGCAATGTTTGTCACTGAAGGGAGTACCAAAGAAGTACGTCAACCTTATAAAGGCTCTCTACTCGAACACAACTGGTCGAGTGAGAGCTTATGGTGAACTGTCATCAGAATTGATTACCTCAAGTGGTGTTCGTCAGGGCTGTCCACTCTCTCCATTCTTGTTTAACTTTGTCGTTGACGTCCTTTTAGAGATGACACTTTCCTCATCTAAATTTCCAGGAGTTGAACTTCTACCGGGAGATCCACTTGTTGACTTAGAATATGCCGATGACATAGTTCTATTTGGTGAAGACGCTGACAGAATGCAGAGTCTACTGACCACTCTAAGCAACAATGCAAGCATGTTCGGCATGCGATTCTCTCCCTCGAAATGCAAAATGTTGCTTCAGGATTGGGTTGCGTCGACACCCGAACTAGTGATAGGGAGTGAAGTAGTTGAGCGTGTCGACCGCTTCACTTATCTCGGAAGTCTCATCAGCCCTTGTGGTTTGGTGTGTGACGAAATCTCAGCACGGATACAAAAGGCTCGACTAGCTTTTGCCAACTTGCGTCATTTGTGGCGTAGGCGAGATATCCGTCTATCAACCAAAGGACGTGTTTACTGCGCAGCAGTTCGTTCCGTCCTACTTTATGGCAGTGAAACATGGCCGGTAAGAGTAGAGGATATTCGTAGGTTACTAGTATTCGACCATAGATGTCTTCGAAACATTGCTCGTATATCCTGGGACCACCGAGTAAGTAACTCAGTTGTTTGGAAACGGGTACTAGGTAAGGATGGCAAATCAATTGAGGAAGTAGTGAAACTTAATCAGTTGAGATGGCTGGGACATGTGTTGCGCATGCCCGACCACCGACTGCCCCGACGTGCTATGTTTTATGGTGTAGGAGTAGGTTGGAAGAATGCTAGGGGCGGCCAGACCAAAACATGGCACAAATCCATGAAGTCACTGACAAGTGGACTGAGTCATGTTGGTAGGTGTAGACTACCTGGTTGGGGACCGCGAGACGATAGCAACCGATGGTTAGAGACCTTGAATGACATGGCTCAAAATCGTTTGCAATGGCACAGGTGCATCCACTCTTTGTGTTCTCTCAAACTCTAATCTTCTGAATTCTTCATGTCCTTTATTTTCTTTCCCAATTTATTCCACTGGACTATACTCCTTCAATAACATCATCAAACCTTAATGTCCCCTATCTCTACTTATACTTTCACTACCTCTACCACTATGGGATTTGAATCGATAACTGAATCTCTGTGCTAATGTGGTATGGCAACTCGAACTGATGTACGTACGTACGAAGTTCCACGTTGTTACTGACTGACTGACTGACACCGGCTACCATGGGACTGCATCTCCTTACGATGCTCCACTGCCTTGTGGATCAGATCTTCAGGTCGAAGGCTCGGGGTGTGGTCCCCTAAGAAAACCACCTGCTTCGGTTTGGGCACCCGGGCAGTATCACAGCCCTCACACATATTAAATGAGATCTGTGTGGCGCATATGTATTTGGTGCCTCCGTGTACCAATACCTATGTGTCAAAATAAATAAGTAGGAGTAACCAATTAGTTCCCATTCCCAGGGTTAACATACGCTTTCCAGATTGTTGTCTCTGCTAGCTAGGTCGAAGTAATTCATGCCTTTGGGAGTATATGCTACAAACCAGTTGAATTCTGTCAAACGTCATCAAATCCAAAGTTCTAATAATATAACTGAAAACTCATTTAAGGGTTATGAAAAACTTCGTACGTACGTACATCAGTTCGAGTTGCCATACCACATTAGCACAGAGATTCAGTTATCGATTCAAATCCCATAGTGGTAGAGGTAGTGAAAGTATAAGTAGAGATAGGGGACATTAAGGTTTGATGATGTTATTGAAGGAGTATAGTCCAGTGGAATAAATTGGGAAAGAAAATAAAGGACATGAAGAATTCAGAAGATTAGAGTTTGAGAGAACACAAAGAGTGGATGCACCTGTGCCATTGCAAACGATTTTGAGCCATGTCATTCAAGGTCTCTAACCATCG